GAGACAAAAACATTAAAACCCATTATAAACGAGGCATTTGTTGCATCCAGTGGCGACATAATTACGGATTATAATGACTTATTACTGTCGTTTTATGCGTCTTCGTACGTGGCTAACTTAGTTAGCTGGATTTGATTGTTGATGATTTGGCATGATCTTGGATTGTTTGGTTCTTCAAAGCTCATCCCGGAGTTGCTGTCATAGCAACAGGTCCACTATTGATCGACCTCTAATGACCAGTCTGCCAAAACAACAGCTTGTGGAATGTGCCGCTCTATGACGTAATCGTGTGGCTAAACCCCGCCTCCGCAGAAGAAGATAAACGCCTGCTTCTACATCACTGCCTGTTTAGCCCCGCTCACTGATTTGCGCATGCAGTGTAAATAACGTGAGAGGCAAAAGCAGGGGCCCGTTCTTCGTACGTTGCTAACTCAGTTAGCTGGATTTGATTATTGATGATTTGGCATGATCTTGGATTATTTGGCTCTTCGAAGCTCATCCTGGAGTTGCTATCATAGCAACAGGTCCGTAAGCTTAAACCTGCTCAGGAGCAGGTTTATTTAATGTAAACAGGATTAGATTGCATCTTTTTAAGAATTGAGATTTAAAATCTGTCCGCTACCACCGCTACTTTATCCAGGGACAATAATTAAAAATAATAATCATTTAAAAATTAATTTAAAGATAATATAATAATGTTGTGTAGTCTTTAATACTATAGACACAGCCAGTTTTACTCACTGAAAGATTTATTCGTCATAAAATTATTACTTCATACTTGTATTTGAGTCTTACACACATGCTATACAGATAATGTAGAGTCGTGCATTAATTTGAGTGATGACATATTATGGGAGTGGCTTGATGGAGCGCAGGAGATGCAGATAACATGATCTTGCTGTCACGTAAAAAAAATCTGTTCAAATATAAAATTAAATGAAGTGCTAATTACTACAATGAAATAAAAATGTAAAGCCTGTAAAAAATATTAGAAATCGTGAATATAAATAATTGGGAATTTTAAATATAAAATTAAATGAATTGCTAATTACTACATTGAAATAAAAATGTAAAGCCTGTACAAATATTAGAAATCGTGAATAAAACAATTGGGAATCATGTAAAATATTTAAATAAAATAACAGTGCACATTTAATTTATCTATTATAACATTATGTAGTTTTGTTCGCTTGGCTGTTTCCTTATAAAAGTCCAGAACTGTGTCAAGTTTTTTGTCAGGTGTCATTTTTAGTTATATGATGTCATTACGTTGCTGTCTTGCCGCCAGACAATCGCTGCATTGCTGATTGTGGTTTAGAGTATCGATACATAGCCCCTTTTAAACCAACCCATGAATGCGCAATTATCTCAGATAACTCAATCCAGCCATACTAATCATCAACAACAGCTGCGTTCGAAGAACCGAATTAGCAAGATCCTGATTAGCGCGATGATATCATCTTGGATGTGACATTTTCTTGGATGTAATAAGCGACGTACGAAGAACGGGCCCCATCTCTGCATTTGTGATAGGAGAAATGACAAACAAGCGCTACTCGCAAATCTTCCCACATCGTGACGTAGATATGTGGGGGCGTGTTAGAACGAGCCATTTTAGGTAGGCGTGGTTGACTCTTAACTTTTATAAAGAATATCTCTTTGGATTTGAGACTTTAGTCTTTGCAACTTTACAGATCTTCTTTATGCACCAAGAGCTTGTAACACTTCAAAGAGAAAGGAAAAATTTAAATCGCATCATATGACCCCTTTAACCATGAACACAAAAGCCACACCTCACAAATGGCTTTTAATTGGTTTATTTAGTTAGCAAACATGTAACTATAATCGTTAAGTTCTTTCCATCTATCAATTTCTTACTTTCACATTTAAAATATTTTATGAGGTTAACTTCTACCCTACTTGTGGTCAGTCTGCACACGATCAACAAGCTCGTTTTCTTTGCCGCCCCTTTAAATAAAGTTTACAGGACCAAGCATTCGATCTACGTCAGAGCGTCCACAAATCTTTCTACAGCACTGTTGGCAGGGCAGCCAGAGCGAATTTTGACACTCTCACCGGCGGCGATATGAACGCACAGATAACCCAACTGTTGCACTATAATAAAAGGTGTCTGAATGAAAGAATGAATGAATAAAGGCACACAGGGCAGTTTGGACCTAAACTCTGAATGCTCATGAGAACAATGCTCTCTATTTTTGTGGTTACCATCATCCATCTTTTCTGTGTTCGTTGCGAGACTCAATGAGGACAGCTGAATTAGGCCGCATCACAAGTCACCCCAAAAAAAGTTTTTGGGAAAATAGGCCACAAAAAAGCTCTCTGCCCATTCAGCTTGGGAGGAATACAAGTGAGAGTACAGCACAATGCCCTGTGTAAGGCAGGTGGGAGATATACTGTGGGAGGAGGTGAAGGATAAGAAGACAGCGGAAAGTGCAAGCAAGGAACAAGGACATATGGAGTCACAGGGCTATTTTGGGAAATGCCGGGGTGGGGGGTGGATAGAGCACATGCCGCCTGAGGGGATGCGGAATGCGGGGTGAATGGGAGATGGGGACTTGGGAGGATAGGGGTTGTCAAAGAACAGAACAAGACTTGGACATCAGGGAGTGGAGAGAAATGCAATCCACCGAGATCTTAGAGAGAAAATCACAACGATGGGGAAAAATGACAAAGCCTGAAGAGATGAAGCAAGAGAAAGTCATTAAAACACACTGAATCATCTGACCTGATGAGGCCACTCAAATTGTGAGCAAGTGGCACAGCTTTGAAATAAGTAGCAAACGTTTGGATGTGCATGTGTAAAGAAACAGGGCATTACAGGTGCTCTCAGCTAGGGCATGTAATGAGGATGGCTACCAAGTCTGGGCTTCTTCTAGAGCCATGACAGGTGGCTGGATCATTGTAAACCTGTCCGTGTGACCAGGTCACTGCTGGTAATGGAGAGCAAGAGGGTCATGGTATGTAGAAGAGTTGCACGCGAAAAACACATAGAGAAGAAAGATGCTCTTATTATAATAAAAGCAAAAAAATCAGAGTAATAATCTTCATTTTAAACTGAGAGAGACAGTCTCGTATGGTCATCTGTCATCACTGGCTCTCTGTGCTGTGAGTGAGTCACATTATCTTGAGAAATCAAACTGTCCTGGACCTTTTGAGATAAAAGAATGACGTACTATGAAAACATGTCAAGGTACAGTCCATTCACTTCCATTCAAACTTGTGCAAACGCTTGAGGGCAGAAACGTTCTTGAAATGTCCTGTTTTTTGTTACATTCACCTTATTTTTCAACGTGGAAATAAGCTTTTTCCTGTGAATGAGCAAGACTTCTGATTCATTATATTTAAAATAAAATAAATAAATAGACGACTAAAGTGCAGTAAACACTAAAACACTTAAAGGGGTGATGAACTGAGAAATCAAATTACCCTTGATCTTTTGACATATAACAGGTCAATGTAGTATTAAAACATGCTGTAAGTTTCAAAACTCAAAACTTTCTCGTTAGTTTAAAAACAGCTTTTATTGAAACCAAGCTCAGAAAACGACTTGTTTTGGATTGTGCCATTTTATGATGTAATAGTGTGGCTAAGCACCGCCTCCGCAGGAGAAGATCAACGCCTGCTTCTACATCACTGCCTCTTTAGCCCCGCCCACTGATACGCGCTTGTAGTAGAATGAGAGGAAATACTAGAGAGATGCAAGCACAGGATTACTCCATCAACAGAATCATAAAGATGACATTACAAGATTACAAGACACTATGTAGTGTAAATTGTGAAAAATAGTCTTTGAATTGCCTTCCTTGCGATCCTAACATATCTACATCGGACGTGAGCGCTGCTGCGTCATGTCGCGAATCAATTTCTCTTTCAGCTTTCAAGTGGACCATTCACACTCCTAATTGAGATTGTAGATAGAGTGTCAATGGTCCATTTGAGAGATAGGTGGCGGTAATGCACTTAAAAGTCTGCGATCTGCCGTAAAGCAAGAAGAAGAAGACGATGACGCCTCACGCGCCTGCTGTTGAGAACGCGCTCAGGAGGACGCGCCGCCGCTCAGGACAGTTCGAACAGTTCGGACATTGCGTGAATCAGAGGTAAAAAACTATATAAATACTGTTCAGTTTCTTGCACAGACCGATCGTTTTGTGTCTTTTGGATGCCCTGGGGGTAAGCAGATAAACATCAAATTTTCATTTTTGGGTGAACTATCCCTTTAAGTAAAATCACACTAACATTATAAGTGAACCTCATAAGACATTATATAATAATAAAAAAATGCAGTTCATGACCCCTTTAATGCTTTAAACCAGTGTGTATGATTAAGATAATAATTATATATTATACCAAAAAATACCAGTGAATGCAGCTGACACTGGCTGGAAAAGCACATTCAAGTAAAATGGCAAGCTAAGTTAAAAATAAGGTGGATATGCACCAGTAGCTGTGTATTTATGTATGATTTCTTACACATCGTCCATCTCCACGTCTTCATCCTCCACAGACAACAGTAGGTACGGGTTGTAGGAGGCTGGCCGGAACTTGTGTCCGGTTAGGAAGAAGAAGGTCAGAGTGGCCAGCTCATCCAACAGCTACAAATAAAAAACAAAACACTAAATAAAACCTTGAATGGTTTATATATATATATATATATATATATATATATATATAGCCCTATATATT